GGCCGATTCAACCAAAGAAGATTGCAAGATGTATAACAATTATTCACAGGAAAAAACAAGACAAATGAATTTCAACGAATGAAATAAAACATCAACTGTTAATTAGTATTGCATGTGTGCATTTAATATTTTTTTAATCAAAACAATGTGTAAAGAACGGTTAAATAAAATATTTTCAATATAATTGTTTGTATTTTTTTTATTCGTTAATTTTTCGTTTAAGTTTGTCCATCACCATAGGGGTTTCAGCTGCAAAGATTGATTTTTCGTTTAAGTTTGTCCATCACCATTGGGGTTTCAGATGCGAAGATTATGTGCTTTTCTGGTAAATAAAATCAAACAAAAAAAAATACATATAAAAATTTGTCTTCACCGTTCTTGATTGATTTTACTTACCTAAAAATTTGTCACTAATCTGATTCCGAATCAGTTTCGTGGACAATTCCAATTTTCTTTTTCTTCTTTTGAACCGGTTCATCATCACTCATTGACGTAGAACACTCCTCCTCCGCTTCCTTCTTTTTTTTCTCCACCTCCTCCTTCTTTTTCTTCTCCTCCTGTTTTTTTTCATCGGCTGACATTATTTTCAGAATCCAACTCCTGGAAAAAGAAAAAGAAAAAAAAGTTGAAACAATTCAAGCAAAAGTAAATTAAATATACTTACTTGGTTTTTTCATTCCGTCCACCGAAATATAGATATATGCTCTCGTTACATTCATTCAGCTCATTTATCTCATCCTCAGATAAATTTTCGCTGAAGTATTGTGGCAAGAATAATACCTCCTTCTGTAACTCTGCCACAATGGTTTTCGATGCCTTTTCGCCTTTTTTCGCGAACTTGTTTTTCACCAATCGGAATGAAATGATTTTATGGAAACCGTTTGAAAGCTGTGCAAAACCGTAATACGGTTTCTGGTTTGCTTCTTGTAATTTTTTAATAGCGTTCATCTCTATATCAACTATTCTCTTCGAGATGTTTGCGGACAATAATGCTTCAGAAAGAGACTTCTTTGATTTATATATGTTTTCAGATCAGTGTAAAACAAATACATTAAATAAAAGTTCATAACAGGTAACAATTAATTCCCACTTATGTATGTGCAGCTTTATTCTTATCTGATGATCTGTTCATTAATATGCAACAAATGCATTTGATGCAAGCGCAATGCAGTTCAAAAAACATTGCACATAAAACAATGGATCCATTAGCCATCGTTTATTTTTCCTTGTTCATAATCAAGCTTGTTGTATGTTACACAAACCTATTGTTATTTTTGCCTTCTCATTTGTTGTTTGTGATGCAGCGCGAACTCTGATGCATTTTGTGCGGTTGTAAAGCGAGTGTTTAAATTGCAAAAACATGTTTGTACAGGTTCGCATATGCTTTAGTTAACAAAAACTTATTTTTCCTTGTTCATTGTCAAGGTCGTTGTATGTTACACAAACCTATTGTTATTTTTTCCTACTCATTTGTTGTTTGTGATGCATTTCGTGCGGTTGTAAAGCGAGTGTTTGAATTGCAAAAACACGTTTGTACAGGTTCGCAAATGCTTCAGCTAACAAAAACAAAAACTAAATATATTCCAATTGATAATATATACACAACAAGAAAATCTGTCAGTCTGCAACTAAACGTTAAACGAAAATGAATTCAACACAGGAGATGAGTGAAATTAAGCGGGTGGAAATAAAAGTGATAAATTCGGCGTTCGAACGACGTATACATGAATTTGAATTAGTGAATAAAGGATTCAAGGACATTGAAGACTTTTTATTGAACGCATACGAATTATATAATCGTGAAATTGATGAAGCATTGAAAGAATTTAATTTAATAAAATCAGTTTCATATTTTAATGCGGTATTTGAACGTTCATTCCACGTCGACGATGAAAGTGATTCAATTGTGGAAAAACGTGATGTTCATATACCTACGAAAACGCAGGAAATGAATCAGTCAACCGATTTGATCGATCATTTCCAAAAAGACATAATTAATTATTTAGTGAAAAAAGTTGACGAAGTAATGGTGGAAGGTTCGGGATTTACATTAAGTGAAATCAAACAATTACGTGTGCAAATTTTCAAATACGAACCATTAAAAGGATCTGGTTTCATCAAGCTTCCAAGAAAGTTAAAAAACAAGCATGCGATAATAAATTTAAAAAATACATATGATGAATGTTTCAAGTGGTCGATTTTAGCTGCTTTACATAATGAAGAAGTGCATAAAAAAAAAGTTAATGATGCATTTAGCTATGCACGCTGGACTAATGAGCTGAATTTCGATGGAATTGAGTTTCCCATGCAACTCAATCAAATTGAGAAATTCATGCAACAGAATGAGGGTCTTGCAGTTAATGTGTACCATTTTAATCCAGAAAAACAACGCGTGTGTCCGCTCTTTCTTGCTGTGAAACCATTTGAATATCGATACGTGCATCTTCTTCTTCTTACGGAACAAGAACCAACTGCATATTATAACAATGAAGCACATGTTGTGAGTGTTGATTCTCATTATTGTTGGGTAAAAAATTTGAGTGCTTTAGTGCATAGTCAGATTACAAAGAATACAAAGAAACTACAACTTTGTGATCGATGTTTGAATCATTTTAATTCGAATGAAAAACTTGAAAAGCATAAAATTCTTTGTGCATCTAAGAACGATTGTGCAGTTGAAATGCCAACTCCGGGGAATAATTTTGTTTCATTCAAAAATTTTAAAAACGAATTGAAAATTCCGTTCATAATATATGCAGACACCGAGGCAATGATGAAACAACCGGAAACAAAGGTATTTAGTGAAGATTGCTCAACAATCGCACATAATGAACACGAATTGCATAGCATCGGTTATTATTTCAAGAATGAAACCGATGAAACAAGATCACGGTATGCATATCATCGTGGTGTGGATTGTCTGGATTGGTTCATGAATGAACTATCAGAAATTGCAGAGGAGATTTTCGACTATTTGGAAGATAAATTGCCAATGGTTGATTTGACAAAAGAAGAAGAAGTGGTATTTCATCAATCGAACAAGTGTCATATATGCAAAAAAAGATTTAATGACGAGAACATTCGTGTGAAAGACCATTGCCATTTAACCGGTTTATATAGAGGAGCTGCACATCAATCGTGTAATTTAAAATATCAAATTACACGAAACATTCCTGTTGTGTTCCATAACTTATCTGGATATGATTCACATCTGCTTATCAAAAGCTTGGGAGATAATAAAAAAATCCCTGGAGAAATAACAATTATTCCTCAAAATTCTGAGAAATATATTTCATTCATAAAGACAATGCGTGGTGTTGGTTTATCGGATAAACAAGCAAATGAAATAAAATTTAAATTCATCGATTCTTTACGGTTTATGACAGCATCTCTGGATCATTTAGCTTCGCTTATTCCACCAGAAAAAAAACAAATTCTTAAATCTGAATGTGAAAAATCAGGTTATTGCTCTAATGAAATGATTTCTTTGCTGAGTCGGAAAGGTGTTTTCCCATATGAATACATCGATTCATATGAGAAACTCAATGAGACCAGACTGCCTGCAAAAGAGAGATTCTACAGCATGTTAACCGATTCCAACATATCAGAAGAGGATTACAATCATGCGCAGAATGTATGGGAGAAATTCGGTTTACGCACAATTGGTGAATATTCGGATTTATATTTGAAAACGGATGTTCTCCTGCTAGCTGATGTGTTCGAGAACTTCAGAACAACATGTTATGCAACATATTCACTTGACGCTGCACACTATTATGGCGCGCCAGGGCTCAGCTTTGATGCGATGTTGAAATACACCGATGTGAATATTGAGCTCTTCACCGATGTGGATATGTTTTTGTTTGCTGAAAGCGGGATACGAGGAGGTGTGAGTCAAATAAATAAGCGATATGTAGAAGCAAACAACGCTTACATGAACGAGGCGTATGACCCATCAAAGGAAACATCCTACATCATGTATTTAGATGGTAATTATTTCACTCATTTCAAATGGAAAAATTTAAATATTTATCTAACAAAATCTTTTTTTTCCTTTTTGTTTAATCAACAGCTAATAACTTGTACGGTTATGCGATGTCTCAACGCCTACCAATTGGAGAATATCAATGGCTATCGGAGAGTGAGATCAAGAAGAATTTCAACTCAAAGGAATCGATTCTAGATTTGAAGGACGAATCAGATAAAGGCTTTGTATTTGAAGTGGATTTGCATTACCCCCCCGAACTTCATGAAAAGCATAATGATTTCCCATTTTGCCCTGAGAAACGTGGTATATCCGGTATTACTAAGAACAATAAGTTATTGTTAACATTTTATGATAAGGAAAAATATGTTGTGCATTATCAGATGTTAAAAGAAGCTTTCAAACAAGGATTGAAATTGAAAAAGGTTCATCGCGTACTTCAATTCAAGCAGTGTGCTTGGCTGAAACCGTATATTGATTTGAACACCGAGTTGCGTGCTAAAACTAGCAGCAAGTTCGAGCAAAATTACTTCAAGCTTATGAATAATTCGATATATGGAAAGACTCTCGAAAATTTGAGGTTACGTTCCGACATTCGGTTAATTAATAAGTGGGGTGGACGAGTTGGAGGTAGAAGTTTAATCGCTAGACCAAATTTCAAAAATTGTAAAATTTTTAATGAAAATTTAGCTGCTATTGAGATGCATAAATCACATATTCTCATAGACAGACCCACCATCGTTGGAATGTGCATTTTAGATATTTCAAAAGTGTTAATGTATAAATTTTTGTACAATTACTTGAAACCGAAATACGGACAAAATGTTAATGTTGTCTACACAGATACGGATAGTTTTATCCTTGAAATAAAGACATCTGACGTATACGCAGACATTCGCGATGAACCAAATGAATTTGACACATGGGATTACCCAGAGGATAATATTTATAGAATTAAACGTCATAACAAAAAAGTACCAGGTAAATTCAAAGATGAACTCAATGGGGAAATCATAATTGCAGTGGCTGGCACAGGAGCAAAAAGTTATGCCGTGCGAACATTAGGTAAAATTGATAAGATAAAAAAATCTAAAGGCGTTAAGAAAAACGTTTTGAAAAACACAGTTTCATTTGACGACTATTATAACTGTATAAAAAATAATTGTATAGAAATAAGAAAACAATTTTCAATTCGGTCAAAAAATCATAACATTTACACCATTTCAATGGAAAAGATCGCGTTGAATCCATTTGATGATAAACGATATATAATTAAACCCGATTGTATCGATACGCTCGCATGGGGGCATTATAAAATAGATTCAGAAACAATGACAAAAGAATATCAATTTGCAAAAGATATTGCACAACATATAAAAAAAAAATTGAAAAAAAAGAATAAAAACGCATAAATGTATAATTTTTTTTCATTAAAAGATTTATTTCAATTATTGTATATATTTTGCATTTTTTATCAATCAATTCTTATTCTCTAGAAAAAAATCCGATTTTAGCAAGCATAGCTTCCATTCTTTTTTTTCTTAACTCAAATCTATATCTATCTCCAGCAATTCTCAACCAATCACTTTTCCTTGCTTCATGATATGCGAATGACCATACATACATATTCAAAGTAATAACATTGGAATCAAAGCTCACTTTTTTCTTATTCTTAATAGTATCCGGTTTTCTTAAAACCGAGATAGTACAATCTTTCCCATTCATCATTTTTTCGTAATATTACAGCTTTATTTTTCGTTTTTTTCTCTTTCGCTGCAAAACTTTCATGCTCTGGTAAAATTGAAAGTAATCGATCTAAAGAATTCAAGTCGAGAGACTTAATTTTGTTTTTTTGCAATCTGTTTTCATACACAATGAGTTGGAGTAAAAAACCATTGTTCGGTCTTATTTGCGTTCGCTTGCT